GGCCTCACCAGTACTGAGTACATGGGGGTGGGGGGGGGTGGGGGGGCAAAAATCACTTCCCTGGACCTGTTGACAACACTCTTCCTAATGTAGCCCAGGGTGCTGTTGGCCTTCCTTGCCACCAGGGTGCATTGCTGGCTCACGTTCAACTTGACAACCAAGACACCCCCCCGACCCCCAGATCCTCCGCAGAGCTGCTTTTCAGATGGTTGACCCCCAGCCTGCGCTGGTGCCTGAGGTTACTCCTCCCTAGGGGCAGGACTTTGCATTTCCCTCTGAACATGATGGGATTCCTCTCTCCCCGCTTTCGCAGCCTGTCCAGGTTCCTCTGCCTGCAGCACACCCATCTGGTGTACCAGCCACCCCTCCCAACTTTGTGTAGTCTTCTGTTTTACTCATCCGGTCTTTCTGCTTGGGAAATTCTGCGTGGGAAATGCTGCTTGACTTGTTAGAAACGCAGTTGCAGTCGGTCTCTAAGAGTTTGTTTAACACCGAGAGGATTGGCAGTGGTGTACCTCGAAGGCTTGTGCTCTGCTTTGTGTTGGACTTCAAGGGCAAAGCTAAACTCTGCAGTAACTTTCCTAAAATCTCGGGTGTGGGGAGAACTGATGGGTAAAGGTAGTTTACCTAAATGGCAATGTTTGAGAGAGGAGACAAAGAACTCCTGAAATAACTCTGTAACTTCTACCTTCTTGGGAGCGGCAAACTGATTTCTCTTTTTCTTCTTGCAGGGGATTTGTTTGGACTTACGATGTGATCATTCTAATAAATGCTATGTTCATTGCTCTGGATGAGGAAACCCCCTATATTTCTTACGCAGAGTGGGTCTTCCTTGCTTTGTATATAATTGAGATACTCCTGAAAGTGTACACTTACGAACCGAGGGCGTTCTTTGGCAAAAATCAGTTCTGGAACTGGTGAGTGGGAAGAACGTTTGTGTTAAAGGTGGTGTGAAGTGTGATGAGATCTTTTGTGTTCAGCCCCTCAAGAACGGAAAGCCTCTTGGAGAGAAGGGCTGCCTAACTCATGTGCCAGGGCGTAATTAAAATGATCGTATGCATCAGAGGACATTGTGCTCTTTCCTGGCTCTGACAGACTCTGCTGTTGTGGAGTGACTCTGCAGCGTGTGGAGATAGTGGCTGAGCAGGGGAAAGCGTTTTGCTAAACAAAGCTTTCCCACCTTCCCACCCTGCAAATAGTTTGAGATGATGCAGGGCTGCCCGGCACGGATGTGAGGAAGAGGGGTTACTACTTTCATGTGTCGTGTGGCAGCTTAAGCGCCCGTTCTCTGCTGCCACAAATCTAACAGCACTGCCTTCCCTCGTGTTAGGTTTGATACCCTCATCATCTTTGCTGCCTTGACTGCAACGATACTCAATACCACCCTGAAATCGAGTAAGTGCAGCTTAAGCAGTCTGCATGCCTCTGGGAAACTCGGTGGTCTTGAGTCGTCTTTTGCCATCACCTTGGGCTTGGGAGGCATTTTGACAGGACAATGAATTTCCTATAGGGTTTCTAAGAACTAACCCAGTCTTTTTTCTTTTTTTTTTTTAATAAATACTGTTAAAAACAGTGTTTGACCAGGGCATAATTATAACAAATGTAAGAACATGCTCTATCTCTACACTTCCCTGCTTATTTTTCTTAACAAAAAACCTTTTTTTCCTTTCTCAGCCACAAAGTACAACAGCCAACAGATCCTGGACATTGTCTTCATCTTAAGGGTCCTCAGACTAGTAAGGATTGTTGACAGCATTCAAAGGTAATGAAGAGAGTGGGATGGGGATATGTGTGTGGTGTTTTGTTTGGGTTTTTGGGGGGGGGGGCAGGTTGTGTTCAGGGGGTGGGTGGAGCGAGGCTTTATGACC